CCTTATAAATGCTATATTATTACTACTATTATTATTATTATTATTATTAGTACAGATGGCTTAACCACTCGACCACCGAGCTTGTGGGTGTCGGCTGGCTGGTTCGAGTCGGATGTAGCAGCGGATACTGGGAACAACTATTTCCAAAGATGGAAGGATGGCAAGTTCAGTGACCCCTGGCGCAAATCCATCCTTGGAAAAACACTGACTGGTAATGATTTATTCCTGTACCATTAAAAAATGTGTCTTTCTGAAAAGACATAATTGTCCTACAACGGGTTATTCGACAGCTGCATTCACCGATGTTTGATAAATCCTGTTTAAAGTGAAACATGGGTGTATCGTCGACAACCGGCAAACCCAGGTGACATGAAATGGGTTGACGTTGGGTTGGGATTTGTTTTTAGGACCTATACTGCCTCTGGGAAAGCTAGATTGCCTTCCTTGTCTTTTATCTGTTTCACCGGGTTGGGTGTTTGGTTGTGTGTTTCAGTGATTTTGGGGATAGTTTTTGTCCATGATTATAAGCTGGACTAATTCGTTAAAGTTGGTGTTCCATTCCGACAATTTTTGTCACTGTGCACTGCGAGTCGCTTGCTTAGACTGATCAACTTTCTTGCCAGAACTATGCATTCTGGTCTGGAAAGTCGAGTCCATCCTATGACGTCACATTTTTGCAAAGATTTGTCTGCTGCCCTCATTGACCGATTTCAATAATTTTTTGCAAAGAGCCCTGGTGAAGTGTTACCTTTAATTTGTACTTGTTAACAATTAATTTGTTAAGTAGCTCCGTGGATCTCTGAACCAGAGTTATGTCCAAAGGACCAGGTTTTTCAGCAGTACAGTTTTCACAATTAGAATTCACATACATATCCTATTCATAATGGTCGAGTGAAAAACATTTCAGTATCCAGCAAGCAGGGCATTTGCTTGTCCTTCTATCAATCCCATTCCCGCACACTTTTTTGAAATGTCCACTGCTTGATTTGTGCTGTGTGAGGAAACAGTTCAGCCATTTGGGAAGAAAACTGGAACAAGATTTATACATAACAGAAAATGTTGGATTGTACATTGTGGGCAATAAGCACAAAACCAGAACTGCTGATCCAAGGTTGTTTGCTTGCTCTTCAAGACAGGTGGACATGGAGAAATGAATGACACATGTAGAAATTACGGTAAGACTGTATGGTACATGTATACCATATATACCATATATGCACGTAAATGTAAGAACCGTCCATGTCTTCACTCTGCGATTGAGGCTTACCACTTAAGATTATTATAGTTGGGTCTAATGCCAACAATGCACATCCTGCCCAACTGCCTGCAAAGTCTGTCTACATACAGTACATATGACAATGCGCATTATAGGGTCGTCATGAGAGTCAGTATTGAGTCAGTGTTGTTACCAACTTCTTCGAAAGAATGACCAAGAAGGTTGCGATAGAATTGTTTTTTGTAAGCTAGCTGTTGACTGAATTGGAGAATTGAAAAGCAGACTATTACTGCATACTGGATACTGAAAGCGGGATACTGAACACTGAAAGCGGGATACTGAATACGGGATACTGAATACGGGATACTGAATACGGAATACTGAATACGGGATACTGGATACTGAATATGGGATACTGAATACGGGATACTGAATACGGGATACTGGATACTGAATACTGGATACTGAATACGGGATACTGAATACTGGATACTGAATACTGGATACTGAATACGGAATACTGAATAC